CCTCCCTTCTCGAGAGAAAGCTCCAGACCTATATCTATCAGGAATCTGCAGGGACAACATAAAATAGTATTAAAAAAAAACCAAAACAAAACAAAACCCAAGTGATTTGTAGGCATCCTTAGATTCCCAGGGGAAATAGATGGTCCTTTTCATGCAGTTGGATGAATTGGCGATTTTATAACATCAGGAAAATAAAAAATACCATGCACACACAACCCTATGGACAACTGCATCTTAATGTATGTGTAATAATTATAATGGGGCACATTTGCCATCTTCAGGATTCAAGCAGGAACTGCACGCAAATGTTCAAAAAAACCAGTGAGAAGCAACAATTGATGTAAGGATATAGGAATTACTGGGTTCTCTCACAGCCTCGGGCTGCAGCCAAGCAGGACTGGGGCATGGACAGGCTCTTAGCTGTGTGCATCTCTTTCACAGCACCATCAGTCCTGGTCTTCGCTGGCACCCTGTTAGAAAAAAATAGATGTTTTAGAAATGCTGTTAGAAAAAGAATAAAAAGAAATAATAGTACTAGGAGAGTTTGACTGGCAGCAAGTCAGGCTGCTGGGGAGGAAAAGAGCACTCCCTCTTACTTACCGATGAGTTGCTTGAAGGAAGGAATGTTTAATTCAAGGCCTGGGTGGATTTGATGGGGTGACCAAGTTATGCTTTCCCCTTGGCCCTATTCTTCTGTAACACAAGGAACCAAACCCTACAGGGACAATCATAAGGGATTAAAAAAGAAAAAAAGCCTTAAATATCTCTGAATAAGGAACACCAGAGTCTGAGAACATATTGCCACTCCAGCTATTCCATAAAAGTTGGCTATAAATGAGATGGTCTGCAAAAATATGATGAAGCAAAAGTTAATAGACATAGAAAGAAGGTGTTGTGCTGTGTTTTTTGGGGTTTTTTTCTGTTTAAACGGAAGTTCAAGAGTCCAAGGGGAAGCACTTAAGATCCCCACAGAGGAAATAGGATTTGTAAAATCATCCCCTGCACCAGATTCTCCACTGGTGTAAATCACGGCAGTGTCATTAACTTCAGCAGACTTAGTCCAGCTGACCTTCTATCACTCATCCCACAGCCACTGATCAAGAGCAATGATCCACCAACACACCAGCACACCTTCCTTTCAATTTGAAAAAGTGCCCGGTGTCCTAAGAGCTAAACTGCGTGAGAGCAAGTCCCTGCAGGCTATTACTGCAAAGTGCTAAGTTCCTGAGATTTAAGAATAACCCTAAATAAAGCCAGAAACCGTGGCAAATTGAATTTAGCAGAAAGGCCTGTTTTCTTTTATGCCGGTATGTACTGAGAAGTGATTAAAGGATGTGAGGGATGAGAGAGGTTTACAGTACATGCTGATGTAAGTTCAAGTGTCAAAACCTTACCCAACCGATACTAGACAGAGAGACTGGTAGACAAAGAGAAGCATGCCACAGTGCAAATGTGGCAGATAAAAACAATACCAAGCAAAGCCATCACAAGGTCCCTTTGGTTTCAACACACACAAAAAATTTGAATTGGCCATTGTTTTTTCTAGACTACAGCCAATACATACAAATAAGTGCAAATGAGCACCTAGACACCTGGAAGAAGTCATTGCACTGCAATTTGGCCACATACCTTGCTACCATGTGCCACGAGTGTCACTCGAGAGACACTCACACATGCAGATAAATGGCTGGAGGTGTTTATTAAAAGAACGTTTTGTCCTTGATTTAAACACAATAGCTCCACTCAGGATATCAACGGGGGTGGAGAGCCTTGTTCACAGAGTGCAACCACAGCCTCGCTGGCTCTGGGGAAATCCATAAGGCCAGCCTTGTTCTAAAGAATTTGAGGTTTTTTCCACTCGTGTGAACACTTTGCCCAAGGGTAGGAGGAAAGGTGGGGGCGTAGTGGTGGAGAGGAGCTGCTGATAGCTCCAAGAGTCACAGTCAAATAGGAGAGGCACCTAACGCAAATATCACCACCACAAACCAACCCCTCCCTTGGTCCACCAAGCAGCCTCGCTCAGGTGCCTTCACAGGGTAACCTTCTGGGCATGCCCGACTGCTACCTCCCATGGTATATATACTGCTCCACGAGGAAACAACCCATATTCAGCACGAGAGAGGCTATCCCAAAATGAAGGCTTTCCTTGTCCTCCTGCTGGGAGCAGTCCTGTGCTTGGATTCAGGTAAGACAGCATAGAGAGTCTACACCGTGTCCCCTCCAGCAGATCTTCAGCTAGGAGAAAAGACTTGTGATGGGGTTTGGCAGTGAGGGATGAAATGTCGACCCAGTTGTCATATGAAGACATTTGCTTTTTGATGGGATGTCCTGGGTGTTGCATGGAAACAATACATAGTCCCACCCTGCTGATGGTGTGATCGTAGCGCTGGGTAAAGCAGCTTCCAGGAAAGACAAATCCTATACAAAACTCAATTTAATTGAAATCAAAGTTATTTAAGCCAGACCATATAGTTATGTGTGGGTTGTTTTTTTGTTGTTTTTTTTTTAAGTGGGGTGGGAGGATTATTTTTCTTCTTCCCAGGCTATCAAAATTGCAACATTTCTACAAAGGTAAGTTTTGTTCCAACTTGTTTTTTGACTCTTCGTTTCAAAAGTGGCCTCTGACGCTGCACAGATTGTCAGAATTTTAATGTGACAGAAAAAGGGAGAATGCCGTGGTGTGTTATTTTATAAACTGGATGGGTGGGAATCGGACACTGTCAGGTTTTTCTAGCCTCACTGGGAAAAAATGGTTTTAAACCAACTTTTCCCTATTACCAGAGAACAGAAGAAGCAGAGCTGAGCAGATCTAATACAGTCCTGGCCAGAACTTCTCCTCTGCCAGCTTCTATCAGAGTTCTCTGAAGTTTGACTGTCATTGCATTAAAAGTCAGATAAATGTGAGAGCAGAGTGCAGCACTACAGACAAACTGGGGTTTGGCTCCTTGCTTCTACGTATCAGCCATTTATACCAGAACAGCTTGGACAGAGGGAGACCTGAAATCACTTCTTCCTCCTGCTCTGAATAACACTAATTTCTAAATAGGGCTTTTCTGTGCCCTAAAAGAATATTTTAGGCATTAGGGTATTGACTTGAGGGATTCACGATACAAGCCTGGTGGTCATGGGGTTAAAATACATATATATACATTAACTCACACTTGCAAGGCCATTCCCGGGGCATGGGTAGGTAATAGGAACAGGTAATTGCACCATGCTCTCACTCCTCTGGGGACTACTTTTCATCAGGGCTAGACACTTGTAAGCTGCAATGCTTATTCTGCTTTTGCTTGATGCGCATAACAGCACAGCAGATGTTAACAACACTGCCTTGCATCCCCCATAGAGTGGCATGTCCATGAGGGGGTGGAAACACGTGGTGACCTGGTTTTCAGAGGGAGGCGAAAGCCATGTTTGCGCTTTGCTTTCTAGGAGGGGGTGATGGAGAGTACGTGTCACAAGTTGGTCAAACTGAGACAATGGGCTGGAAGAGACCTTGCAAATTGCCTCACCCTCCCTCACCCTTTCTTCCCTTTGGGCTTTCCCTCTTTCATCCAACCCTGGCAATGCCTCAGCTAAGGCTCACAAGTCCACCTGGTAAAACACTAAGGTCTATAGAGGCAGACAAATAATATCTATGTGTCCTTCTGGGGACTTCATCCCTTCTTCCCAGCTCAGGAGGTGGGAATATCACAAAAAGCCTGTTCCAAACAGGAACCGAGTTAAGCATTCCAAATGCAGAGAAAGACGCATTTGGGAAACTCTTCCCATGGACTGATGAGACCAGTCAATGGGACCAGCTTTCCAGTTGGTCTCTTTTTGCTCCCTCACTGCACTGACTAGATCTGAAACAGCTTCAGCACCTGCAAAACTTGACTCTCACACCAAGCAATTGTACTATTGTCCCCTGAAAATGGAAGAAAACCATTGTTTTCTCAATAACAGAGGTACTGTCTTTCTTTGAGGACCCACAGGAATGGTCCTGTTTCCCAGTTGAAGCACTAAGTTGGGTTCCCTGGAGAGCTTCAGATGGACTTGTCTTATAACCCCTCTTGGTCTCTTGCAGGTTCTTCTTTGCAGTGTTACAGCTGCACGTCACAGCTCAGCAACTCCAACTGTCAGAAGAAAGAGGACTGCAAGGATGCGGAAACATGCAAGACAGATGTGATCAGTAAGGAAAAGTAGGGGTGGGCAATGTCTTAGCTATGGTGTTGGAGCCAAGCATGGTCCCAGACTCAGGTGTCCAAGCCAGCCCCTCCTACTCTAGATCCACCAGCTGGTGTGGGCCAGCAAAGCTCAGTGTACAGTAAGAAGAGAAAAGCCATCTGGGGAGAAAAGATGATAAAAAAGCTTTCGGATTACTTTCATGTTAAGTAGAAATGACAGAAGAAAAATGTTTATCCCTTGGTGATAACTGGTCCCTTGGTAGTGGTGCTGACCATCACCAAGACCTCCCCCCACACTGGCCATGAGAATGTGATTACAAAGTCATATTAGTACGTGCATGCTGTACCCCATAAATTCCTCAGTGTTTGCCAATAGATCACGCTAAAAATTGAGCAGTATGGCCAGTGCAGCGCCAAGGGCCTGGAACGAACCTCAGGAGGGTGCAGCTGCTCAACAGAGCACTAGCTATTAAGCACTTGACATTGCAAATACCTACCAATGTCTCTCACCTGTACAAAATTAGGTTTATTTCTCTTTCATAACACCAAAAGTGATTTGCTTACAGGGGCAATGGTTAAGTTTATGGCTTTGAAAAGTTTGGAACATGTGTTAAAATGTGAGGGGCTGAGTCTGGTGAAACATAGTCATGAAGTTAGGAGGAACATTCAATGACAGAGTTGACTTTAGGTGAATCCCATGAAAAGGACAGAATTTCACCTAGGCCCATCTACAGCCAGCTCTGAATGCAGCCATCTGTGTGTCTCTGGGTAAACTCCTTTATCAGATTATGATTTAATTCTTCCATTCTAGATCTGGCAAAAAAATGTTTAACCTGTGCAGATCTGTGGTAACAGCTCAGTCGCTCTCAGACCTGGGGCACAAAAGCCATCAGTGGCATGTTCAAACTCATCTCTGTCAAGCAGTAAATGTAATACCTCCAGTAGGCATTGTCCTTGTTGGAAATGTGCAAACCCACAGCCACCACATTGTATAACCCACCGGCCCTATACACTAAATTTGCACATGTCAAAGACTTGATGCCCAGAATAAATTGGGTAAGATCAGGAAATCTCATGCAGACTGTAACCTGCTGGTAACCAGCAGTTACTGAGTATCAACTGGCCACAGAAAAATAGGCTGTGCCTCTCAGAAACAAATCAAACAATAACTCTGTCACCTGTGAAATGGGGATAGCCGTGTTTCCATAACTTCCCTGGGTTTTGAAAGGCTCCGTGCAACAAAGCTACATGGCATACAAGCAAAGATTACCCCACATGCTTGCTCCTCATCCATTAGTAGCTTAGACTCCCCAGAAGAGGTGTTAATGGCTACTTTCATTATTACTTAAATTATTAGAATTTCTGTAGTTGGTGCTGTTTTAGAAACCCCTGAGAATTGTGCTGGGGAATACACTGCCTTAAGCAAATACTTGGGGACTGAAATCTTTCCCCCTGTTGACAAACTGACACCCCAAAAATACAACCTGCTACAGTAAAACATGCAGCTGTTTGGAAACATTCTTTTTTTTTTTTCCCAAGAAGTGAACTCAGATAAGAATAACGTCTCATTATTCAGTTCCATGGGGCTTGGCTTGGCTTGCATTGAGTCCTTGTAGTAATGGTCCTGCTTTCCTTCCAGGGCTCGTAGGGCTCTTCAACATCATCAGCAAGGGCTGTGACTCATCATGCAACCCACTCTATCAGGACTTCAGCGTGGGCAACAGGAATATCTCCTGCTGCAGCAGCGACCTCTGCAATGTCAATGCAGCGGGCAGTGTGAGGTACAGCTATGGGATGGCAGCAGGGATAGCAGCCAGCGTGCTCTGGCCTTTCCTGAACAACAGACTGTGAGGAGCAAAGGCGAGTCCCATAACCACAGAAATTCTTGGAGCACCCCTCTTATGACAGGAATTGTAACCAGGAGCAAGATGGTGTGTTGGGCACTCAGCATCCTTGGAGCTGATGGCAGATCTTTGCCGTATGATAGCTTCTTCGTTACTGTTATTGTATTGCTGTAGTGCTACCAGATAAGAAAATATGTGTGCATGCTACCTGCATAACACCTAAAATATACTTATTTCTGAATCAAGTGTGAGTTTGTTACCTGTATGTCACTTAGTCACGTATTTCTGCAACCAGCAGCAACTGCAGGTGGGTGTATTGCGTGCCTGGCCGATGTTCAGTCTTGGTCATTGCTGTGTAACGATGATACGTGCCAAGAGGTGCCATGGCAGAGAAGAATAGAGGTGGCATCTGTACCTCCAAAGCTTGAGGGGCTTATGACAAACTCTGGAGGGCACATAGCCCAAGAAAACCCGTGAAGAGCAATCATACCTCAAAGGGAACTTGCTTGTGACCTAGAGACCCTGTTAGCTACCATACCAGACAAAAGCAGTGCTCACCTCCCCTGCTACGTGTGTGTACAGCCGTTCATATGCCTTTCCATAGCTGTAGCATCCTTGGGATGGTGGGCAGAACTGCACATTCAGGTACCTGGAGCACTGTGGTGGGCAATAACCATTGGGGTGAAATGGAAAGGGTATCCCCATAGTGTCCTGGTCAACCAATCCAATTCTGGGATTGCCAGTCTCCGTCCTGGCCATAGTAGCATCCCCTGAAGGTTCTCATCTCCCACAGGCAGGTTCTCAAGCTTTCTTCTTCAAGTTCCTTTTTGATCCATTCCCCATTGTTGTGGTTTAACCCAGCCGGCAGCTAA